TCACAGATTATTAGGTGGAAAGAGGAACTGGATGAAAGTCATGATTGAAAACATGCTCTTTACATGAATCTGCTGATGAGGTGTTACGGCTGAGCGGGCGATTATGGTAATGTGACACTACAGGAAGTCATGGGAAGATCAGACGTCTGTTTCTCTTCACTCCAACCAAAGAGATGAGGTGTTTGGTTGTGATTGTTTTTCCTCAGTCCTTAATTTTTAAAAACTAAAACAGATGAGTTGAAATAAGGCAGAGACTTCACCGATGTAAAAACTCTGTCTGTTGTCTGTGGATACAGACCTGTGTTTGTTCTTCTGACATTCTGAATTTTGGTTTAGGGCTGAATCAGGTGAAGTTAAAGGACAAATATGTGTATTTCTCATCGGTCTACAGACTGCTTTTCAAATGGCCATTTTCAGGTTGACTGACGGCCTCTCCTGTGAGAACTCTCTGCATCTGCCCTTGGGCCATCATTGACAGATTACCCAGCATGCTGTGTAACACAAGAGACGTTAACTTGGCTGTGGTAGGAAAGCTCAGATGGAGGCTAAAAGATGCTTCTTACGTCACCTAATGGGGGAGAGTCGGGAGAGTGAGGAGATGCCACGAGGATCCTGCGGCTCCTTCTGAAGGAGGAGAGGCCGTCCGGCTGCAACCAGCTTAGGTTTCCCCACAACTTGTTGCTTGGTGCTAAATAAATGCTGGCATGTTGAGTGGAGACACCCAACACCCGGAGCTCATCCAGAGACGACTGCAGCAAGAGCCAGTCTCTGACCCACTGTGTGACCTTTTAACCTCATCCTTCACTCCCTGGGTTGGCCCGGTGCTGCCCGTGTCCAATCTGTCAGATTCTTGTTAACCAGTGACGCTCGGTCGGGTATCGTAAACAACACTGTCGCTCAGGATCAGTCGTGGTTTATATAGTCTGGCCTTCAAATCTTTTGAAAGACCTTGGTTAAACATCTCCTGAGCTCCACTTCTCCAAGTCTGCTCCTTCCTCAAAACACACAGAGTTGCATCAGATTTTTGTTCAAATTTCAAATTCCCAAGATCAATTTCACACATTTCTCCTGGCCAAAGCCATGGCACGGAGGAGAGTTCTGCACAGTTCTCCACACCTCGCTGTCAGTCGGTGCACAAAGGGAATTTATCATTAAAGAAGCACAATCAATATCTCTCACCCCCTGCATAGCAAAGCAGAGCTGGGCCCCCACCGTGAAGCCCAGTGCTGAGCTCTGGGGGGGAGGAGTGGGGGGGGGGGGTGCATGCAGTTCCAGAGGAGCTAATTAGAGAGTGAGTGCAGGTTGTCTGGTTAGTCCACATCCAGCTGTGGGAATGGTGCTAATGAGACATGCTGTACCAACACAGTCAGGCTGGAGATGGCTGCTCACCCTCTTATCTCCTCCACTTGTATAATCATTCAAATGATACATAATTAATGCTTTTATTCCCTTCTGGAGCTTCTCACTGGCAGCAGAACGAATCTCTGCCAGCTACATGGATCCAACATGTAAGATCATGTCTGACACCATGTCGTTTCTTTAGAAACGCGGCTGAGACAAGCAGAACACAGCTGTGTTAAAACAAGTGATTAGAGAGCCTCCAAGAGCCGGCGTCATTAATACACTGTTAGTGTCGTAGTAGAGTAGATGTTTTATTGGTGTTTTAAAGGACAAATATTCTTCAAAGTGACTTTGTGTTCGCTCACTCTAAGATTTTTTATTTTTTTATAATCCCACAAAATCTGGAAATGTTTCTCAAACCCAGCTGTTCTGATTTCACTGTGTGACATCACAAGAAGGCGATTACCATAACCCCGCCCCTCGGATCATGTTGCTCCACCCACTAACACCACCTGTGCAGGAGTCAGGCCATCTCTCCCTGATTGCATAACCGTTGCCAAGGTTACACAAAAACGTCTTAAGGTCTTCCCGTAATTAACACAAGTGTGTTAATAATCCAACTGCGGTCCAAATAAGTTCCTTTTGAATGAATCATAGACAGGAAGTGGTGATTGTTCCAACCACAGGGAGGCCGAGCTCTTGGACCTGGATGGATCGGTTAAAGTTAAACTTTCATCAGTCAGTTTAACTGTGTCTCTTTGAAAAGCCCCTCTTTTGCTGATTAATAGTAATTACCAATTAACTGTAGTAATGGTGCACATCCAGGCAGACGGCCGAGCAGCATGCCCACTTTATCTTCATTAGAGAGAAGTGGGCCGTGAGCACCAGGCCACATTTTGACCTCTGTCTCCAGGGAAACATCACTTGGCAGCAGGTCAGGCTTCATATCAGCCGGAACGTGATTCCTTGCAGCCTGGACTCCCAGAGTCCTTGTTTCACATGTGTTCTCCTGGGAGAGGTTAATCCAGGGATTATCCTCCATTTATTAAACAAACAATGGTAAATTAATATTAGCTGATCTAATCAGGCCAATCATCTGGGGGCTTTCTGTTAGTGCATGTCGACCACTCTCTGCTAGGCTCTACAGGAAGAACATGGAACACGTAACGGCTCCATGGGTCTGTGTGACTCCATCCATGTCCCTTCTCCTGTGTCAGGGCCTCAGCACTCACGTCCTCACGGGCATTTCAGAGACCTCGCCGTCTGAGTCTGGAGGACAGAACTGAAAATCACAGAGCGTGACGCGCTCCTGTGTCAGTGACGCTGCCGACCAGAGTAAATATTTACAAAAGTATGTGCTCCAACATCTGTTGCGGTCTGGGCCGGATGGCTCAGCGCTGGAGCAGTGGAGACGAAGCACATCGTGAACACTTGGGAACGTACGCGGTCTCAGGTTCCATCGACTCATCGCGAGGGTTAGGGTGCCGTAAACAACTGGTGCCAGATGTTTGTCATGAGGCTCCCAAGGAGGTTGAAATGAGCGAGGATTTCTGTGACCGTTCAACATCATTGACAGACAGAGAACAGTTGGCAGAACTGTTGTCAAACCCTGGATACTTTGTTACATGAAACACTTGTTGTAACGTCAGGCCGGTTTGACAACAAGTAAAAGGGACAAGGACTATGAAACGGTCCAGTTGAGGAGGCAGCGCCACAAAAACACAACAGTGGTCCACTGGTGGAAGACAACAGAGTGGGAGGTGTTTATACAGAGGAGTTAACAAGACACAGAAGGTTCGACCATCACTGTGGAGGGAAACACAGGAGGCGGGGCCAGGAAGTGGAGAAACAAAACACCCAAAATGAGCGGAATTGAGGAAAATAACTCAACTGTAAACACTTCATATAAAGACCTGACAGTCCAGTTCATTTCTAATCCTCCAGTGCTGTAGTTAGTAACGGTGACTAACTAATAGTCTAGTTTTTAAAGGTTGAAAAGTTTGAGGTTACAGCTGACTCATCTGAGTCATTAACCGTGGCGTCGGCTGATTCAGGCCTGGACCGGAGCAGATTTACAGAAGCTCTAAGATGTGGATGTTTGCTCAGACCACAGACTCATCCTGACTTCAAACATCTGATACAGGGGAACCATGGAGAACCACAGAGAACCATGAGCCACAAAACCTACGGCTGCTCATCAGCGTAAATCAGCGAATTTACTCATTAACAGGAAACCATCAAACATGTAAGTGGTCGTGACTAATCTGTAGACACAGCGCTGAGGTCACAGGGGTCACAGCCCTCAGGTCCTCCACCTTTACCTTCATTGGACAATGCATCGTAAAGAATCCCCCCAACAACCTGACTCCTGGCCTCCTTTTCCCACACTGCTGTGAACGGGGGCCCCTGGAGGCAGAGGCTTATAAAACAGATCCCTGCAGCCCAGCGCTCTTACCCCCACCACCAGCCCTGTACAAACAAGACCCTTGCGAGTGAGCTACATTGCCCCCACAACTGCCACGGTCTGGGGTTTTATGAGACACAGTTTGACACCGTGTCGTGTGGAAGTCCTAATGAGTCTCTACTGCAACCTGAGCGCTGGTAAAGATGGTGTTCCTCTGTGTTCGCTGGTTCTGTGGCTCGGTGTCAGGTTACACCACTGGTCCACTGGTGGATGACAATTAAGATGTGGGTCACACAGATTTGACGGTTTGGTTTACGACACAGTAGTGGGCTGAGGTTTTAGGCCGAGGTCTACTGTCATGTTGATGACACACCTTTCCTGCAGCCGTCGTCTCGGACCGTACCATGTGGCTGAAGGAGCAGGAGGCTTGTTGGAGTGTCGATGGTTGGAAGTTTGACAGATCTTCTGCTTCTGTACTGTGTGGTTCCTGAGATCAGGCTGTGAAACACATCCCACGGTGATACTGGGAAAGTACACGGGCTACTGTGTCAGCAGTGAAACTGAGTTCAGTTTACAGCCCAGGAAAACGGTCGTCTATAAAAGTCATTGTTAGCAGAGAATTATTGAGAGGAAATGTAAATGTCACTTTGACAGGAAGGACGGAGAAAAAAGGTAGAGCAGAAATACAGCCGGGATCCTGGAAGAAGCGATTCTCCCCTGGTCTCTAATAAAGTCTCACAGGCAGATTAAATGTCCTGAAACTCCTGGTGTAGTTTTACTGTGAACTCCATTAACTGCTGTCACTGTTGACATCTGAAAAGTCATTCATGACAAACAGACCAGAGGAGAGGGTTTATATGTTGGAGTGAGGAGGATTTATATAGTACAAAAATATACTCGGGTACTTTATATATATTCGTCACACTGGACATATTTATGAAGGTAGAGCAGAAGGAAGTGACTACAGTAATGACTCTGAGTGTGTATCCAGTGATGTACAGTAGAGTATTGAGTTGAATATTTGCCCTGACTCAGCGTCTTACTCACGTACGATGGATGTTTACGTGGTGACTGAGGGAAATGAAAACAGATCCTTAAGAACTGATAATGTAATGAGTTATAATTCTTCATCCTGTAAATCCAGCCTCAGAGTCAGAGTCTAGTTTTAATGATCCAACGTTGACAACAAACACACGTTCACTTCGATGACCAGCAGAATCTTTTACATCATCCACTTCAACCAGTTGTTGTTGGCACTGAGTATTTAAGGGAGGGGGCTGGTGGTGGTCAGGTATTCTGGGGGTCACTCTCAGTGACAATATAAAGGCCTGGAGGTCAGTCAGGCCTGGGGACTTTTGTTTATTTCATTCCCTGTAGTGTTGAGTGACATTCCTGTCAACTCCTCCGTTTGACTTGAAGAACATTCGACCACAGCTGATAGAAACACTTAACAGCATATAGAAATATAGAACAGCACACAGCAGCTCTATTATCACTTTTCTTTCTGAGGCTCCAGGATTTCCCTCCAGTCCGTCCATAAACAGAATCAGTTCCAGGTCAACCAACCACAACGTCCTGCCACGAGACCCAAAACTCCTCTCCTGGACTGATGCTCCCTGTAATGAGAGATTTGTTGTGATTTCCATCATTGTCAGCGACGCTTCATTTAGCCCTGGGCCAGATAATGACCTTCCCTTTGTGGATGTTCAGTGTGAAGTGAGTGGAGATGGAGATAGAGAGTTGAAGAAGGTGGAGAGTGAGGGAAGATGAATAAACTAGTTTGTTCTTCCACCGTCCACCGCTTCACACAATTACATCTTTGTATTTGACCTCCAGATCTGGAGGGAGGTCAGGAGAACAGAAGACTGAGGCTGCTGCTGCTGCTGCTGCTGCTGCTGCTGCTGCTGCTGCTGGCAGTGATGATAACAGTGATGATGATGATGATGATGATAGAAGAAGGTATTTGACCTCTGGAGCAGACACCAGTGGCAGAACAGGGAGAAATATAACTTATATAACTTTGTTCAATAAAATAATGCAGTTTTAAATATAATATGTAAATAATTATCCATCCACCAGTCTGTCTATCATGATTTCTACCATCTGGAACAGTGGACTCCCTAGATATTAGTTTAATCCATTCCACAACAGCACTAGTGTCTCGATCCACTCGTATCTTGATCGAATTTTCCCCATTCAAAATAACTAATCCGATTTGTTCCAGTCCACTGGAAATATACTATGAATTCATTATTAAAATCAATTCAAATGACCCCCTATCTAAACATCAGAAAATTTGGTCAAATGACCAAGCGAGGTAGGAGAAGGATTATATCCGTAGGAACCTGTATGCACGGGATTTTCACATTTCGACCTCAGTTGCGGACTCATACCTAGATACTTCCTCGTATCAGAAACAAAATCTTTAAAATACTCGTATTTCTGGAAGCTCGTATCTAGGGTGTTCACTGTAAACGTGCCGGCATATTTTACCACTTTAGCCACGCCCACTTCAAACACCCCACAAGATTAAAGTTCTCCCAAACTTCTCTTGTGAGGAACATCCCAAACCAAAGCTGAGGGGAGAAAAAAAAAAGAGTCAAGTTTTCTCTCAGCCCTGGAAGGAAAAAAAAAGTCAAGTTTTCTCTCAGCCCTGGAAGGAGGAACACATTTTTGGGTTCTTGTGGAGCATGTATCAAGCTTCAGGCTGTGATGATCCAGCAGGGGGCCCACTGCCTTCACCCAGCTTCCACCAATTAAAACACCTCCGACCACAGAGCGACCTCTACAAAGCCCTCATTGTGCTGGACCTCCAACCTGTCAAGACCTACTGTGTTTTGAGTGTCCACACATTTCTTCTTCACATTCCCACAGTTCCCTCTGCAGTCGAGAAGGAAAAACAAAACCCTTCTGCCAGCTTCATGGGAACCATGAGCCTCATGTCATATTGATGAAAGGCTCCGCCCAAACGGCTTATAGATTTCCTGCGTCTCCTTTGAAGACCATCAGAATCTCTCATTTTGTTCAGAGATGCTTTGGGCAGAGAGATGAAAACCTTGATGTTTAGATCAAAAGTGTGTGTTGTCTTTCCCCACAAACAGAGATGTGTTTTATTCACAGTGAATGCATGGGATGATCAAACACAGCTGCTCTTGTCCAAGCTGTTGAGTCCGAACCAGAGACAAGGCTTCATTTTTTTTTTTTTTTTTTTTGCCTGGAGTCAAGAAAGTTTACAAAGCGAGGCCAAACCACAGGGTCCTTCCTCTGTGCTTCTTCACTGCAACCTTCATTTCCTCTCCTCTACTTCTGCTCCAAACACTCTAAAAATTTAACCCTGAATGTGTTATGTCCCCTCCTGCCACCCCTCCCTCCACACACCTCTCGGTGACAGAGTATTCCTTGTGGCAGACCCGGGGGTAAATATGTTCGAAGTAACCCATCATTTTCTAATCCTGAGGTTTTGGCTTCAGACTCACCGACTAATTCTGGAGGTTTCTGTGGATGCATGTGTCCCTCTGAGACCACAGTAACCTGTAATAACTAGTCCAGACCACAGGCTCAGTCAGAGCCAACACACACTTTTACTGCCCACACTTACACACCACACTCACGGCCCAGAGAGAAGCCCGGCCATACAAACACAGCGTCTACACATGGACTGCAGTAACAGCTCATATTATGATATAATAAAAACAGTGTTTGTACCGACATCACTTCACTGATTTCTTTTTTTTAATTAGTAACAGTCATGACAATGACAGTGAGCACACAGGCCTACAGCACCTCTGATCACCCCAGAAGAATAAATCTGTAGAGCATGTGTCAAACTCAAGGCCCGGGGGCCAAATGTGGCCCACCAAACTGTTTTGTGCGGCCCGCAGAAGCTCAAAAAGCATTTAGTAAAGTCCATTTAGCAGAGTTTCTTAACCTGAGAAACTAAAGGTGTTTTTATAATCTATCAAATAATAATCAATTGCAGCATCATGTATTAGTCTGTTATGGAGTAGTTACATCCATACCAGCGGTCCCTGATGTTTTTGTTCCAAGTACTGGTCAGCCAGTACCACCTAGTACTACAGGCTGGTACCAAGGTGCTGAGCATTGAAGGATTATTACATCTTTAAAATCAAACATCTTTTAGACTCTGGTTGTATCATAGTCTGAATGACATTTAAAAATATTGACAGAATATCTTTGAAGTAAGTAAATAAATATGACTGGATTTTCTTTGAATGAAGTAAATTAGTAAATATTAAGTACATTGTTTTTCCACTGTGTCCCACTGCAGCCCAGTACCAAATGATTTATGGACTGGTAGTGGTCCGCGGACCAGAGGTTGTGGGACCCCTGATCTATACAGTCATCTACCCCTGCTGTAGAGGGTGACTGAAGGTCAGCAGACGCAGCAGCGTTCACCTGTTCTTGTCACTTATTTCCATTTCCTGAAGACAGTTACGTTCTGAAAACTCACCTTCACTCCAAACACAGTTCCAGTTCTTCTCACCAGCGCGGTCACCTGAGCAGCTCTCATGAAGGATGCCACTGTGTCAGAGTGTTGACCACAGGTGGTGCCGAGTGACTTCTCTCAGCACGTCTGTCCTGACGGAAACATCTGGAACGCACATGGATCCAGGCTGTGAGCTGGGTGAAACCTGAGCTCCAATCAGCTGATAGAAGAAGAAGAAGAAGAAGATTTGCTCTGTTAGACCTTCATCACACGCCGCTTGACAAATGTTCATTTATATTAACAAGAGGAGTGTCACGTCTGTCGTGAGTTGACTTAGACTCACTCGTTCCTGACAACAGTCCCTTTAACATAGAAGAAACAGAACCATGTCACTGTTGTCATGAGAGTCAGCAGACAGGACCTGAAGGCAGCACGAGGAAGACTCTCTCCAGGTACTCTCATTGGGTCACCAGAACAGGAGAGGTGTATATACCCAGGGCACCAGGTGATCCAGAAACTGACGTAGGTTCAGAATCCCAGTACGTTTGTGAATCCCAACGTGGCATTGAGCCAAATGAGGAGTTACGCCCCCTACCTACGTATGCAAATATCTTTGCCATGAATCCATCGACCTGCAGGAGAATTCATCAGGAGGAAGTGAAAAAAGTAGAAGCTGAACTGTAGATCCTAGTCAGAGGAAAAAATCAGTTAAAATGAAACCCAAGACCGACCCCCCCCCCCCCCCCCCCCCCCCCCCCCACCACCACTACTTGAGAGTCGGAGGAGGGCGGGGCTCCTTCCTGTCAATCACAGCCTATTAGCTGATCAGCAGGAGACCTGGCAGGAATGAGTCACTTTAAAATATCTGGAAATTGAAATTCCTGTCTTTTCAAAAGACATTTAATCCGCTTTTGGGAAAATCCTGCTTATTAAAGTTGAAACGAGTCCATCTTAAATCTTCACCTTTTCAACGGTAAAATCCCATTTTCTGCTAAACTGAAGTGCAAGTGAGTGCATGTCAGGGTTATGCCAACCATGGAAACTGTCACTGTGGGTCCTTCATCATGTTAGGTGTGTCTGAAACAGCATGTGGGTTTGAAAAGGTCAGCTGACTGTTGTTTTCAGTTACAGCCATGAACCTTTCATTTTACCTTGAAGAAAAAAAACATAATCAGGTTTTCAACATGGAGTCTCTGTGTATGTGTGTGTGTGTGTGTTCATACTCACCGTGACCTTAAAGAACTTCTATATGAGTTGACTTAGACTCACTCATTCCTGGCAACAGTCCCTTTAACATAAATAAGAGGAAATACAATCTGTCTTCTGCTCTAAATTCAATAAAGTCAAACTGTGGTTTTCTCCTGAGCACGTCTTAATGAGAACCGTCTGCACGACCACAGTCAGACACTGGGATGTTTCACACAGTTGAAGCTCAATTCTGACTTTACCGTCTCTCACCAAACCAACACAATGACCTGCAGTGTTAGTGTGTTACTTTTTTAGCCACTGTTGGTGCTGTTTTAACACAATCAGCACAATCACTGCTACATATAAAAACCATATAGCATGTAGCCCCCTCAGTGCCCCCCAAATAACCTATCCAGTCCTGCCCCATTGGAGCTGAGCTTCAACAGAGTTTAATACGCTCCACTGCAACAGTTCTGAGGGGTGAACCAGGATTTAATTTTATGATATATTAGAGGATGATTTACGGACTAATAGAACACTGTCAAACTGTTGTGAAATATATAACTAAAAGATGTAAATATAAATACAGTTCATATAAACGGCCTTCCCTGGGAGGCTGCAGGTTGTTTTACCTTTACTGTAAACAGACGTCATGAGCAGATGTGAGTTTCTCAGATCCTCAGTCAAGTGAAATGATATCAGCAGAGAGAGAAACAACGACTCAGACAAACAGAGAGAGATGAGACAATCAGGACAGTCCAACAGAGGGAGCGTTGGTTTCACTCTGGAGACAGACGACTCAGACTTTGTTTTTTTATTGTTCAAAAAAAAGATGCTAAAAAGCTAGTATTTACAGTATATTTGACTTCATCGTGTGGAGGAGAAGTGGAACAAACACACGGAGGTGAAATCAGTCTGGACAGTGATGAGAAGAAGATGTGACATTTTTGATGAGTCCACGACATGTTAGACCTAATTTACCTCAAAACAGGAACTGAGGTTCCAGGAGCTGAAACCTCAAAGACAACTGTGGCAGTATTCTGATGACATCACATGTTTGGTGATGTCACTGCCATTGTAGTACTGTCACAGTCTATGAAAACCTTCTGTTTTACTAATGTGAAAATGTTTCTTAGTTTGTTTCAAAATAAAAGTTTGACTTTAGTTAAACCTCTTTAATCCAACAGTCAGTGAAGTCTGTGTTTGTGAAGGATTTCTTCACGTTGACACTTCTGGGCAACTCACACATAAAAAAAAAGACGGATTATCTCTTTAAGGAGGATCAGTGACACAAAAGAGCAGTCACAAAGACACAGGCACCTACAGCATGTAATGGAATCAAACTGATCCCACAGCAGGTGACGGCTCTACAATAAGCATGTCATCACATGCCAGGGAGAATCGGGGGCCCCCAGGTCAGACCCCACTTCCATTTACCAACCAACAGGACTGAGAGAGCCCTGACCTCCTGTAATTACTGGATTATCTTTCACGGTGAGCTGCAGTCATGATTTCATCTGCTTTATGAAGATGACAGGACGACGAGTTCAAAGACATGAGACTTGGGCGACGTCAGGGTCGGTGCAGGTGATTCATGTCCAACCTGGACTGGTTTGGTTTCACTGGTGTCGAGTGGTTTTTTCTCATGACTCAAATGTTTCAGTTCAAATATGAGGCGGAATCTCTCAGGACAGCACTCACCAAACTGTCCTGGGTTTGATGTCCTGAACCGACCCAGGTCTGAGGACGCTCACTGTGCCTTGACTATAAAAAAACTTAAATATTGATTATAAAAAAACAGATCCTGTATATGCTGATGACGCCTGCAGTCGGAAGTTAGAATATTATGAAATCTTAAAACACAGAACCTCCTGTAGAGGGAGCTGGGATGAAATTGAACTGGGATTAAATTATCATTGTAATAACATCAGACATTGAATAAACTGGACCAGACCTACAAAAAACACAGACAGAAGGTTTGAGAACTGGACATCAACCATCCAAGTCCACAAAAACATCTTAGCAAAACCACTGTGTGTGTGTGTGTGTGTGGTTCTGTTTTTGCTATACCTGTGGGGACATGTTTCTGTTGGAAAACCTGAATGGTGAGGACACGAGTTCTTGCGAGGACATTTTACACCTCCCTACTTAATTAGAGGTAAAAGACTTAGTTTTAGTTTGGGATTATAATTAGGGTTAAGTTAGAGTGGGGGTGGGGGTTAAGGTGGGGTAATTATCTGGGCTGCTTAAGATCAGGACCTAGAAAATAAACTGTGTATGAATGGAGAGAGAGAGAAACAGAGAGGGGCTTAGTGAGGAGTGAACATTAAGCATAAGGTCAAGCGCTCTCTAGGCTCCACTTACTCTCACTGCTCCACCTTGTTGGTTGTGTTTCCTCTCTGCTCCATGGAAACTCACCTTGTTGAGAGCCTTTGTTGCTCCTGGTCTCCTCAGATCTTCTTAGACCTGTCATTTTTTCCCCTGCTCTGTTCCTCACCTCTGCACCAGGACGTTTCCCTCCTGACAGGCCTGTATGTCGAACATCACAGTCATATTTACGCCTGACTGCTCCGTGGCCACGCGCCTGTCCGTGTGGTTTATGTGGGAACTGCTGATGGGACGAAGCATCGCAGGAATCTGAGCTCAGGGTCACAGAGCTGCAGGACGGTGGAGCTGCGGCACCGGGACACAAAGTGTGGCTGCTGAGGTTAATTAGACAGGGGGTCAAAGGTCAGGGACATTTAAGGGACTGCCCCAGAGAAGAATCCAGATTTAAATAAATACCTCTGTCCTGTGTCTTCTCTTCTTCTCTGCTTCTTCCTGTCCTTTCAGGAATTACAGTATATTTGACCTTTTTTCTTCTCCATTCACTGTTAAATGTTTGACACAATGACAGTTTCCTGTTAAACTTTTTTCTCTACAAATTTGGCTCCGATAAAAGTAACTCCCTAACGATCTGAAAGTACTATCACAGCAGTTGAGAGTATTTTTATACTACTACGCACAAAAATCGAAATCCCTTCTGCCGTGAGATTCGAGTGTCTGGACACAACACACAGAATTAGTTATGACCACAGTGACCTATCATTACTCTCAGTCTTAGCAGCCAGTGGAGCGCCACCCTCTGTTTTGAGTGATGATATTTTCATAACCCAGTTATGGTGAGGTAATGGGCTATAAAGGAAAAATCCTTCACCAACAGCTGCAGTCAGGATGACATTGGCTCCGTACCCTGGGACCGGAGAACGACTGCACCCTTTTCTTCACACTTGTAAGCTCTTAAATCACCGTTATTATTTAGAAAACACAGGGACACAGTTGACATGTGCCAGTGACACGACTGGAGTCAATGATGCAGAATAATTAGTTCCAGTACTTTAGTACTGTAGAGTTGGGACCAAGAAACAGAACTGAATTTGGGATTTTGTGTTTTTCCGGTTTGGGATTAAACCATAATTAGGTACACATAAGCCAATTAGACTCTAATCACCAAAGAAATATGTTATAAAACTACAAGAAAATAGTTATAAGAAAATTATAAAAAAAGTAGGACAATATTTTTTCTGTAATTAAAGCAGATTATTCTATTAGACTTGAAATAGAAAAACAACATTTGGAACAATTAGCCAACACTAGGTCAACACTGAGGGCCAGGATAATGACCACAGTTAAAAGACTGCAACAATAAACACAGAATAATCAGGAAGTCCAGTCCTGAGCCCCCTAGTGTTCATCACTGAGGTAGTTTTCATCATCCTTCGTCTATTAAACAAACACTGGAGCTCCGAGGCTGAAGCTGCAGCGACCACAGGTCCTGACAACATCTGCATGTTGTCACAGCTGTAGACACGAAGCACGATGAGCACTTTTGTATATTTATGTGAGGGGTTGGGGGGGTGGGGGGGCAGGTTGATGTCAGATGTTCTTTTAAATGCCAACCAGAGACACTGCTACTATTTCAGCTGCTCTGTGTGTGTGTGTGTGTTTGACTTTGTATTTATCTGACCACGCAATGAATTCTGGGTGACCGCGTTTCAACTGGCCTACACGTTCCTCTCTTTATCAGATGGAGCAGATGGAGAACAGTTCAGAATCCACAATGTCTGCAGATCACAGTGCCACCAGCTCTGATAGGATCTCAGTCAGACGCTCTCCACGTGACGGACTGAGCAGGCGGACCGCTGTCTGACCACGGACCCACTGAGAGAGGAATCTGATCTCCGTCCTGCGTAGCCCGGTCCAAAACCCTCTGCTTCGTCTGTTGTCT